TGTACTTCATGGACAGTTTTCCATTAAAATCTGTTTTGTGCATGATTCGCTTGGTTATTATGCACCAGTCTACCGTTGTGTACAGTGGTGTTGGCTGTTGTTTTTTTTCAAAAAATGACCAAGAAAGCTTAATTTCTGCTGTTTAATTTCTACAGAAGAAATTAAAACTTTTTAAATTGTGCCAAATTGCAAAACACTTAGGTGTGTCGTACAGATAATATTCAGTTGTACATCTCCTTTCAGCCCCAAGACGTTTTCAAATTACAGATTTTGCATAGGCGCATAGACTCCATTAGCGGTTGGATGAATGATAACTTTCTTCAACTTAATGAGGAGAAAACCAAAGTCCTTGTTTGTGCTCCCGATAAATTTGTGCCCAAGATTATGGAAAATTTAGGTCCTCTTGCTACATTTGGCAAATCCTCTACTACGGATCTTGGAGTAAACTTTGAGTCAGCTCTGACTTTGGAAGCTCATGCTAAATCTCTGGTTTGCTCCTGTTATTATCATTTAAGAAAAAGTGCTGAGTCCATTGTGTCATGCTCAGAACTCGAAATTGTCATACATGCATTTTTCATCTCGTTTGGACTATTGTAATTCTTTGTTCACTTCTTTATGTAATGCCTCCTTGGAACGTCTGCAAGGTGTTCAGAATGCTGCTGCAAGGCTTCTGACCTTGTCTTCCAAGTACTCTCATGTCACAGCCCTGCTGATCCAGCTGCAGTGGCTCCCCAATAAATTCAGAGTGTGCTTTAAGAATGACTTTGACATTAGGGGCTCTGCATGAACAGGCATCGACATATATCAGAGATCTTTAATGTCCATAAATTCCCAGCAGGTCCCTAAGATCATGTGATCAGGGCTTGCTGGTTGTCCATCATACGAGGCTGAAAACAAAAAGTGACAGAGCTTTTCAAACTGTTGCCCCCAGAGTCTCGAACTCTCCCCCTTTGAGCTTGGGATCTTGGGACTCACTGATCTCTTTTAAAAAACAGCTACAAATGTATCTGTTAAAACTTGCTTGTGGTTAATTTTTTATGTTTTAATTTCTCTCTGAAGTACTCTGTGATTTTTATCTTGAAAAGTGCTATACAAATAAAATTTTAATTACTCTGTACTTACTTATTTTGCTATGTATAACGTTAGTTTTTCTGAAAATTCTAAAAAATTTCTTTATTAACAAAGAAAACTAAAAATAGTCTTTATTCTATTTTATAGTTTTAAAATTGGATAACAACTGACAACAAAGCTAGCCAAGAAGCAGTGAATATGTGAAATATAAGAATATAACACCAGCACTGCAAATGTAACAAACATATGTTGACATAAAATGGTGTGCTATTTGAAATCTAAATGAAACAATGACACTATTTATTCTATTTATCTATTTCATTTAAATTTTGTATTTATTTTTTCCCCTAATTGTACAAATTAGTCTGTGTTTGTCCTTAGTGTCCCAGAAATCATATTTATACACAACTAAACACAACTGGTGAATGTTTTAAATGGATGTTTCGTCACTTGATGACGAAACATCCATTTACATATTTGACATTGTCCTGAAATTGATGCCACTGAACTTATCAGCACTTGCTTTAACAAAGCCCCCAAATCCCCTATGAGCAAGCACTTTGCGACAGTGGGGAGGAAAAACTCCCTTTTAAAAGGAAGAAACCTCCGACAGAACCAGGCTCAGAAAGGGGTGGCAATCTGTCGCGACCGAGTGGGGTTCAAATGTTCACTGAAAATTTAGTTTTATATAAATATGATGTTGAGGCCAAATTACTAAAAGGTTCATAGCTCTCAAAATTCATCTGCAAAGGATTTCCCTAAGAGAGAGAGAAAGAGTGGTTAA